CAACAGAAACAATCGGAAAGCTCTAATTACATCAGTACGTCATTAGACTGATGCAGTGCTAATACTGCCTCCACATGCCTGTACTACAGCTCAATAGCGGATCTACATTGTGGATTTTTTCTTCTATGTTACGTAATTCATATGTAGACTTTAACACCAGCACCATTAGGTTTAAACTGTCACATTGGGGTTAGTAATAGAGGACACAAACAAAAATACTAAATACTGAAACATCAAAAACAGGTAAAATCAAGCAGTAGACCAACACCAATAGGCTCAGAAGAGCAGCGAGGTCATTAAGGGGTTAAATTAGAAGGCCTTTGTTCCTGCCTGTATGTAGAGTAAAATAGGGACAGAGGCAGCTGATAGGAAGAACTGGACATACTGGATTTACTACTAACCACTAAACCAACACACAAAGGAACCAACACAACACAAAGGAACCAACACTCACACCGATTTAAAATCATCAGAAACACAGACCAACATCCAGCTGAGCCAGAAATCCTTAACAGCCACTACTACAGCATGTCAGGCTCATGACTAACTGCTGTTTATGTGTAATTCTGACGTATGTTGGTATGATTGACAGTGTGACGCAGACACAGGACTCCTCAGCTGTAACAGAACCCTCAGAATATCACAATTTATGTATAGATAATCATACTGAATCAGCTGTTATTGTTCGTGTTAACAACGGGCGGACGTAAGCAGCCCACACAGCCACCAGGGGGAGCAGTTATTCACAGCAATGTTAAAAACGAAAGCAAATGAATAGCAGAGGTCGTCAGAATCAGCCAAATTGCCCTGAGTATGTTACAAGTATTATTCAATAGTTTGATATTACGGCCTGCTGCAACTCTCTTTCTTTGTGTATTGACTGTCAAGGACCAAAGCTGATAGATGGAGGAGTGGAGTAACTTGGAGAGCAGGTGCAAAACACCTGCATCCACCACTGAGCCCAAGTGATGCGTAACCATGGCACCTACCACAAATTCTAAGGTGCGTCCTACTCGTCCTCTCACTCATGCACACTTTCCCGTTCGCCTGCATATGCACAAACAAAAATCCGAAAGCACCTCCAAAACAAAACAGACCAAGGTTTCGGATCTGAATGCAGAATTCAGAGATGAAAGCTCACTGACTTGAAAACCATGATATCAAATGTAGTAAATGTATTTTTCAACATGAAGCTGCAGCACAAAAACACTGTTAGACACATGTTATCATTTAATGACAACGTCTGTCTAAACCTTTGACTGGTCCTGTATATATATTTCACAGGATAAAGGTGGCTCGATGACATCACATATCCTGATAACCCTGCTAACAGACAGGAAACAAAGGTCAAATCCCTTGTTTCATCACTGTTTAGAGGAGCACCTTATGATGGCCCTGCTGGCTCTAAGCTAACACAGCTTTGAAGGGATGACGAACCCAGATAAATCCTTTGTGTCATCACTCCCGCAATAGGACATGCTAAGTGAACTGGTCGAAAGTCATTCAAACCATTTCCCACTCCCAAAGACACAAAGAGGGGCTGACGACCCGGCCTACTAGCCGGCCCAGAATACAAGCCAAACAGCTGGTGACTCAGGTGTAGTCACCACTGTTCCCATGGGATGAAAGCAGTGGGATTGTGGGTAATCATTTACAGTTGGTCTTGGGGGTGGGGTGATAACATGTTGCCTATGACACAGATTTTGCCCACAGACCCGTACACATATAGTTATACACAAAATCCCACACTCACACATCAAAGTGTAGCCTTGAATGCAACATGGACGACCACACCAAAACTTTGCCTCCACCCTCTACGCAACGCAGGGCGAAGAGACCAAACAGGGAACCTGGCGTGCAGTACTTAAGTGCTCTATAGTATTTTAGCAATGACGAGAGCGTAAATGCTGACAGGTGCAATCATAAACACATGTTTTTGAAAGTGTTGCACTGCCATAACCGCCTGCACAAAGAATGCAGACACAACCAAACTATTTCTGCACAAAGAAAGCCGGGTCATGACGAGGTGGTGAAACGGGATGGAGAAACAG